CGTTTTTTGATGGAAAGCTAAGACAATTTGAGTTTAAACTATTTGTTCAAACTCTGATGTTATCAATGACATTTACAACACAAATCTAGATTAACAATTAAGCAAGCAAAGTATTAAAAGTGAACTAGATAACAAATATAAAACATGTTAGTATCAAACATTAAGGTTCATGTTGAGTTTATACTATACTTATTCTTACACTATTAGTGTAACCTTTTCTTTGTGATATAATAAACTTAGATAAACATAATAAAAGAGAGAAATATAAATAAATAAGATAAGAATGTAAATAAGATAAAAGTTAACCAAATAAAGGAAAGGAAATGAAAGGCATAAACTTAATATTAATGAAAGCAAAGCAAAATGAAAGGCATAAACAAGATATTAATGAAAGCAAAACTTAAGCATTACAAAAATACAAATAGAGAAAGAAAAAGCATGATCTTGATCTAAAAACCAAAATGCCTAAATGTATGGTGAATGCCTCCCATTATAGGACAAAATTTAGAACTATTGATTTGATGAATAATTGTTAAGTGGGTGGCCACATCTTGACTTGGTGACCATCTTTATCTTTTTATTTGAAAAAACATCATTGATAAAGTCAGAATTTAAACCAACTTTACACATGAAAGTTCTAGGAAATTGTCTCAACTTTTTAGGAAGAAATTTGAGGTGATTTGGAATTCTAGAACTCAAGATATGGGCTTAACACTGAACAGTGTCTTGGTTGCAGGACAAATTCGGACTTTTATATTATTGCTAAGATTTGGACTTCCAAATAGCAAAATTGAGTTTTTCCTTCCACATGAAAGCTTTAGACCTATGTTTTAGCTTTCTATCCATATAAAGCAAACCTAAATTCGAGATCTACAGCTCTAGATATGACCCAATTACAGAACAGTATTCCAATTTGAATGACATCAGCATCTCTTTTCTAAGTTTGGCACTCATTTTGTTCTTTCAATTTCAATACTTCAACTCATCAATCAATCATTTCATTTATATGATAGACCTATATTTAGGATGAATATTTAACATAAATTAAAGGTATCTTATGGTATCAAACTTGTTATTATAAAATATGTTTTGGTTAAGAAGTTATTGATATTTCAAGTGTAAAATGATGATATAAAACCTTGATAAAAAATGCATTTTTAAGTACTAATAAGTTATACCATATGGTTGAGCTATGAAAGTGCCAAATATTTATTATACCAATTGTTATACAACACAAATCTAGATTAACCATTTAACAAGCAAAGTATTAAAAGTGAACAAGATAACAAATATAAAACATATTAGTATCAAACATTAAAGTTCATATTGAGTTTACACTATACTTATTTTTACACCATTAATGTAACCTTTTCACATTGACATAATAAACTTAACTAAACATAATGAAAGAAGATAAACATCAAAAAACAAGATAAGAACATAAATAAGATATAAGTTAACTAAGTAAAGGAAATGAAATGAAAAGCATAAACAAGAGATTAATGAAAGCAAAGCTTAAGCATTACAATAAAGAGAGAGCAAGAGTATAATCTTGATTTGAAAACCAAGATGCCTAAATACATGATAAATGCCTTTTTTTTATAGGCCAAAATTTAAAACTATTGATTTGATGACTAATTGTTAAGTGGGTAGCCACATCTTGACTTAGTGACAATTCTTATCTTCTTGTCTGAACAAAAAGTCATTTGATAACATCAGAATTTGAACCAACCTTACTCATGAAAGTTTTAAGAAATTGTCTCAGCTTTTTAGGAAAAAAATTAAGGTCATTTGGCTTCTAGAAGTCGAGAAATGAGCTGAACACTGAATAATGTGTGGATTGTAGGACAAATTCGGACTTCTATGTTGTTGCGAAGATTTAGACTTTCAAATAGCATAATTGAGTCTTATCTTCTGCATGAAAGTTTTAGGCCTATGTCTTAGCTTTCCATCCATATAAAATAGATCTAAATCCTAGTTCTACAGCTCCAGTTATGATCCAATTACCAAATAGTGTTCCAATCTAGACTAAACCAGCATCTCTTTTCTAAACTTCACCCTCTCTTTGTCATTTTAATTTCAACATTTCAACTTATAAATCAATCCTTTCATTTATATGTTAGGCTTGTATTTAGGATGAATATTTACTGATTAGTACTTAAAAGTGCATTTTTATCATGGTTTTATATCATTATTTTGCACTTGAAGTATCAATAACTCCTTAACTAAAATATGTTTTATAATAATGTATCTAATAAGATAAGATACCTATAATTTGTGGTAAATATCTATTTTTAATGCAGGCCTATCACATAAATGAAAGGATTGATTGATGACTTGAAGAACTTAAATTGCAAGGATAAAGAGATGACCAAACTTAGAAAAGAGATGTCAGTGCAATCCAAACCGGAACACTGTTCGGTAATTGGGCCATATCTGGAGCTACAGATCTCAGATTTAGGTCAAATTTATATGGATGGAAAGGTAAGACATAGGCCTACAACTTTCATATGGAGCCCAAGATCTAAAAAGGCCATTATCAAGTCCAAATTGTAGCAACAACAAAGAAGCCCGAATCTGTCTTCCAGCCCGAGCACTGTTCGGTATTTTGGCCATATCTGGAGTTCTAGAAGTCCAAATGAGCTGAATTGTTTACACAAGAAAGCTGAGACAATTGCCTACAACTTTCATGTTTGCAACTGGCTCCAATTTTGACGTTATCAATGACGTTTTGGGCAGACAAGAGAAGATAAGGATTGTCACCAAGTCAAAAGTTGGTCACCCACTTATCAATTAGTCATCAAATCAATAGTTCCCAATTTTGGCCTATAAAAGGAGGCATTTGCCATGCATTTAGGCATCTTGGTGTTCAGATCAAGATCATGCTCTTCCTTTCTCTCTTTGTATTTTTTATGCTTTGTTTTCATTAATATTAAGTTTATGCCTTTCATTTCCTTTCCTTTACTTAGTTAACTTTTATGTTCTTATTTTGTTTATCTATTTTGCTTTCTTTCATTATGTCTAGCTAAGTTAATTATGTCAAGGTGAAAAGGTTACACTAATGGTGTAAGAATAAGTATAATGTAAACTTAATATGGACTTTAATGTTTGATACTAACATGTTTTATATTTGCTATCTTGTTCACTCTTTAATACTTTGCTTGTTAAATGACTAATCTTGATTTATGTTGTATAACACTTGGTACAACAAATGCTTGGCACTTTCATAGCCCATAATGTATGGTATAACCGACACCTGAGCTATGAAAGGAACTTGATTTGTTGTTAACATAAGTTATAATCATGAATGCTTGACGAGATTTACAAGTATTAGCATTAATTGAATAAGATGACTAATGTAATCATGTTAACAATATATAATCTGATTGGAACCTCCTTTGTGTGTGGTTTCCAATTCAATAATAAGAGTTTATACTATACTTGTTTGATATACCATTAGTGGAACCTCTAACCTTGACATTTGTTATTATCATTGTTTAATCGTTACATTAATATTCCATCTCAAAGTTCTCATCATCTTCTTCTTCTTCTCTTTCTTTATTATTATTATTATTACTACTACTACTACTACTACTACTACTACTACTACTACTACTACTACTACTACTACTACTACTACTACTACTACTACTACTACTACTACTACTACTACTACTACTACTACTACTACTACTACTACTACTACTACTACTACTACTACTACTACTACTACTACTACTACTACTACTACTACTAATTATAAAACATGCTTTAGTTAAGAAGTTATTGATACTTCAAGTGCAAAATAATGATATAAAACCTTGATAAAAATACACTTTTAAATACTAATCATTTAGCTAAATTTATTATGTAAAGGTGAAAAGGTTTCACTAATGATGTTAGGATAAGTATAATATAAACTCAATATGAATTTCAATGATTATATCCTAAACAATTTGCTATTAACATGTCTTATCATTTTTATCTTATTAGTTCTTAATATCTTGTTTGTTAAATGGTTAATCTACATTTGTGTTATATAACACTTGGTATAATAAATGTGTGATCCTTCTTGGTCAAATGTGTGGTATAACCGATACTTGTGCTATGAAAGACTTGATTTTTTGTTAACATAAATTAGCATCATAAATTCCTGATAGTATTTAAAAGTATTGATATTACTTAAATATGATAATTAATATGATCATGTTAATAATTTATAATGAGCTATTAATGATAAATCATCTGATTAGAACCTCCTTTATATGTGGTTTTCAGTTGAGTAATAAAAAGAGTTTATATTATATTTATTTGAAATATTATTAGTATATCATATAACCTTGACAACTGTTTTTATCATTATTTAATCTTCACATTAATCTTACATCTCAAAGTTCTTTTTAACTTATTATTATTATTATTATTATTATTATTATTATTATCTATATAGTTTACCTCAATATGATTTGATCCTAGTCTTGCCGGATTATTTATTACTTTAATACTCTTACACTTGAAGGAAGACATTAATTTTTTGGTTGTATGAAGAATAGTTATAAAATATTTAAACTTTAAGGACTAGAATATCTTTTCTAGCAAAGGTTGCTATTTTTTTCTTGATGTAAATCTTGATCCTTTATTTTTTTTTCCTTTTGTTATTTAAAATAAGTAGGACCAACCTTATAAAATTAGGTGTAATTTAACTCCAAAATATTTAACAAAAATAAACAAGGAAAGACAAATTGAGAAAACGTAATAGAGCATGAAACTATAGAAAACAGGAATTGAAAGGAAAGATGTTTCCAAAAAAAGAAATTTAAGTGAAGAAAATCGACTATGAACAATGGAATGAGCAAATAAATGTGAGATTATGAAGAGTGAAAGACTTAGCTGTTAAAGTACATGGTTAGTTAATTAATAACAAAAGACCCCACAAGTGACACCGCATAAGGCAATAATCCACGGTGGACAAACGCGTCGGCGTAGTTATAACGCAACCTTCCTTTCTTTAGCTCCCACTGCTGTCCTTCCTCTCATAGGCTTATATCTTCCTCCTCGCCCCTTCCCTCAATCCATAGCTACTAGAAACTTCTACAGCTCTTCCTCTCTGCCTCAAATCAATCAATCAAAATGTCGTGGCAGGTATACGTTGATGACCACTTGATGTGTGACATCGAGGGTAATACCCTCACTTCCGCTGCCATCATCGGCCACGACGGCAGCGTTTGGGCCCAAAGCGCTTCCTTCCCTCAGGTTTCATTTCTTATCATTCTTAATTTCCCCGATCTGGTCCAGATCGGTTCTGTTTTTTCCCGACATGTCGTTTGTTTTCCCTTGCATGCGTGGTTTAATTCGCTTGGTTACTGCAATTTAAAAGGTAAAAATAATGTATTCACGCATCGGTGCTTCTGATGCAGTTCACCCAAGAAGAAGTGAGCGCGATCATGAAAGATTTTGAGGAACCCGGATCTCTTGCACCAACTGGGTTGTTCCTTGGTGGCACCAAGTACATGGTGATCCAAGGCGAACCTGGAGCTGTTATCCGAGGAAAGAAGGTGATGATTCGGTTTCTTTTATTGAGATATTGCTAATTTTGAGGATTTTAAATAGCGACATGCACTGACTGACAATTATTAATTATATTGTAAAGGGTGTTGCCTGGTTGGGTGCCGTTAAGAGATTAGTAGGTGTTATTTAGTGGTTAATTGTTGTAATAATTAGACAATTTTGAATTTCAAACCCTTCTTTTGTCATCGAATCGCATCGCATCCCAAATTCTTGGATCAGATATCCAAAGGCATGCAATGCATGGGAAAGTGATGGTGATTAGATGAAATATTTGAAATTCAAAATTGTTTAACTAACATTAACGATCATCAACTAATCTCTTGATGATTGCCCTAACTTGTTAGCTTGTCCTGTTGTTGATTTGTGTCTACAGTCAATGTTATACTTAACAGGTAAATCATTTTGATGTTTTCAGAAGTACTAAGCTTTTTCCAGACTTGACCAATTATTTGATGCTTCTGAAACCCAGATATTACCATCTATTGCTTGCCATATTAGTTGCTGGGAGCTTTTATGTGATATATTGTTTTTAAATTATTTTCCTTTTAAATTAGATTTTCTCCATGTAAGTTGCCAAAGGTCTAATTGACAATTAATATTTAGGTTTGTGCAATGTAGAGATGGGATAGGTTAGTGTTTCCTGAAGTTGGAAATGGAATGAAATGAATTAGTGTTTCCTGAAGTTGGAAATGGAATGGAGTATTTAGGGAGTGATTCCTAGATATGGAATGGAAATGTGAATGTGATTTGCTAGTTCATATTGTTGTGTATTCCCCACTTTGCAGCTAGGCTGTTTGAATTTAAAAGAAAAAAACAGATGGTGGCTTTAAATGTATGATAATTTTGGGATTGGCAAGCATCTAGCAGAGTGACTCGTGACTGAATTTAGTTCTTAATTGTGGAATGTGCATTAGTTGGTTGCTTTGTACACAAAATTTGATGAAAAGAATTTAGTGTTTCACAGGTGCAGAAATGTTTGCTGCTATGTGCATTGGCATCAAGCTCTTGCATACAAGCTCTTTTGCCTTTGTGTGTTTCCACTGACTTGACATTATTTTTGAAAGGGTTCTGGTGGTGTCACTGTCAAGAAGACCAATCAGGCACTGATAATTGGCGTGTATGATGAGCCTCTAACTCCCGGTCAATGCAACATGATTGTGGAAAGGCTTGGTGATTATCTAATTGATCAGGGCCTTTAGTCATCTAGGTACGTGGTTTGATTCTTTCATCTTTTTTGTCCTCTCTATGGGAATTTGATGGTAGCTTTTGGAGGCTTGCATGTACCCACTTGAAGTTGGAATTTCTTGCAGTTGCTGGTGTTTAAAGTTGAAGTTGGGTCTAAGTGTGACGTTGAAGTTGTTTGACACTCTGTTTTGAGGTGATAGACGTGGCTTCTCGTGTATGAAATATCTGTGTTCCTAATATCAGACTTCTGAATGGAAGTGTGTTGATTTATTATACTGGAATATTTACCTGCGAGGGATTTAATGGATTTGAGATTGAAGTTTTTTGTTAGACTTGTATTTCTTGATTTTTAAATTTATCTGCCCTTTTACTCGTCCCTTTTCCCTACCGTTATGGCTTGGGCAAAATTAATGTTCTGGAAAACAGATCGGATGCAAGTACAAAGCCCTGCCTAACCCTTTTTAAGATGTGCATTTCTGAACCCAAATAGTGCCGCTTAGCATAAGCTATGGTCACCCCATAGCATTCATCGGGCACTTGTTAGTAGGCTCAATACTGCGGGGTGACAGCCCATTTGGGATTTTTGTATTTTTGGCCTGTGACCATAAGCCATGATTGCTGGATTGGCGACAACAGATAAGTCACACTTACACGAATGATGAATAGAGACAAGAACCCCTAGGAGATCAGTTACAAACAATCTCATGAAATCAATTTTTTATACATCAATTAAGGTGGTTGGTTACTCGCAGATGCAGCCTGCTGGGTTTGGAATCTGAACATGTATCTTCATTTTGAACGATTATAGCATTGACACTTCGGTTAAATTTTTCCTAAGAAAAAAAACATATTATAAAAAGATAAAGAGTATAATAATCTTAGTTTAATAATATAATAAAAAAATCAATAATACCAAAAAGAAAACATTGATACCTAAAGGAAAAAAATAACACTTTACCAATATTATAAAAATATATTTTCTAAATATTTTTTAAAATTATATTTGATAACAAAGTAAAAATTTAATGAGAGTGGGATAGCTTCTTAAATTAGAAAATAAAAGAAATTCAAAGTTTAATTACTTGCAGAGTAAATGTCGAGCACAAATAAAAAAAAATCTATTTAAAAAAAAGAGAAAAAACTAACTTGAATTGGTATATTAAACTCACGACTTGATCGTGTGAATAGTGTTATAGTATGCATGATATCGAATAATAGATCTTTCTCATGGATTGAGAAAGTTCTCCATGAGAAAGTTTTGGATGTGTTAGGATTAATCATAAAATTATAATTTAAAAGGTTTATGAATCGCTACTTAATATTATGATCACTAGAAAATCTATTAATTTGTAAGGGTCTAAATAAAGGAACTAGTTGTGCATTATGAAGACATATTACCTCCAAAGCACCCTACTTATAATAAGTTACATTATTGATTAATTGTTTTTTAAGTTATGTTTCTATCATTGGTCTATCTCAGATTCAAGAAAAATTCTTTAAATATAAAGGTCTTTGTCTTATCAGGCTAAAATCTAATTATTCTAAGGCCCAAACTTTAATGATGCATTTATTTTTATTTTGTATCTTTAATACTTGAGGATATACTTTACAATATAATTTTATACTCTTAAATATTAAAGTCTATAATTAATTCTTGACATTTTATTTTTAGCAATTCATTTAATTTAATATCGGAAATATACATTACAATGTAAAATTTATACTCCAAATATTAATTAAACAAGTTACTTTTTGTGGTGTTTTTGAAATTTTAATAAAATCCTAATGGATAATCGCAAAGTTGTTATGATACTCAAATAATTGATTTTTGTCTTTTTTAAAGTATGATAAAAATATTTTTTTATTTTTTTATATAAAATATGTATGAGAAATTTTAGAACTTGGTTGTATGTACACAATTAAAAATATAGTTTATTTATTTATTTTTTAAATAAGAAATTTTAAATTTCTTGTATTTTTATGAAATTTTGACAAAATATATATATATTTTAAATCGGATGAGTATCTTATAGTGTAAGTTGACACGACCAAAATATTAATGTCTTCTTTCAAATACAGGAGTGTCGAAGTAATAAATAATCCGACAAGACTGAGGTCGAACCACAAAGAGGTTAATTATAAAAATTATAAATAACAACAACAACAATAGTAGTAGTAGTAGTAGTGGTTGTAGTAATAATAATAGAAGAAGAAGAAGAAGAAGTTGATGAGAACTTTGAGATGAAAGATAAATGTGAGGATTAAACAATAATAACAACAAATGTTAATGTTAGAGGATTTACTAATGGTATTTCAAACAAGTATAATATAAATTTTTTTATTACTCAATTGGAAACCATACACAAAAAAAGTTTCAATCAGATTATAAATTGTTTATATGATTACATTAGTTATCTTATTCGAATAATGCTAATACTTGTAAATATTGTCAGTATTCATGATTATAACTTATGTTAATAATAAATCAAGTTTCTTTCATAGCACAAGTGTCGGTTACACCATACAATTGAGCTATAAAAGTGTCAAGTATTTGTTGTACCAAGTGTCATACAATATAAATCTAGATTAACCATTTAACAAGCAATGTATTAAAAGTGAACAAGATAACAAATACAAAACATGTTAGTATCAAATATTAAAGTCCATATTGAGTTTACACTATACTTATTCTTACACCATTAGTATAACCTTTTTACCTTGACATAATAACTTAACTAAATGTAATAAAAGAGTTAAACATAAATAAACAAAATAAGAACATAAATAAGATAAAAGTTAACCAAGTAAATTTAGTTTGGACTGCATCAACATCTCTTTCTAAGTTTGGTCACCTCTTTGTCCTTTCAATTACAATACTTCAACTCATCAATCAATCCTTTTATTTATGTGATAAGCCTTATTTAGGATGAACATTTACCATAAATTAAAGGTACCTTATGGTATTAGACTTTTTATTATAAAACATGTTTTAGTTAAAAAGTTATTGATACTATAAGTGCAAAATGATGATATAAAACCTTGATAAAAATATATTTTTAAGTACTAATCACACCCTCCAACCAGCTTATTACTAGTCTTTAGTAATCAAAGCATTAAAATAGAAAAATAATTTTCAAATTCCACAAAGTAAGACATCCATCATTCAACTTCCATTAATCTATCCAGATAAACAAACTCTCATCAAATTTATATATCTACTCAATACCTTTTAAACAAATATTTCTTTTATGCTCAATATATCAACACATAGTTATGGGGCTTTACTTGGAAGAAAACAAAATTTTTATTTTAATGTTTAAGGTTAACTTCTATGGGTTGAGATTATTTTTTTTTTCTTTTTTTTTATTAATATACATATATCTTAAAAACACAATGCATCTTTAACCCATGTAATAAGCTTTCGACTAATGACTCCCAGACTAGTAAGTCTTAGGGCATTAGGTGTTAAGACACTCTTACGAGCTTAGTGACTCGGGGCAGATACTGATACGTAGATAGTGCAATATTTGATTTTTTTAAGCTTTTCTCCTCAATTCATGTGACAAGCGTTGGGCCAATAGCTCCAAGTTAGTTGATTTTAGGGTATTAGGTGTTAAAATACCCCTTCAAGTTTATCTACGTTTTTATTATCATCATTTTATTATTATTGTTTCTTTATTTGTTTTTTGTTTTTTTTGCAATTTATATATTATCCCTTTCCCTTAATTATTACCTTTAACTAAAGAATATAAATAATATAATAATCCAATTTGCAACCCACAATCATATGTTAAAGAGTGTGTGTGAAAATAAAGGTTTAAGAATACATGTTAAATGGGTATATGAGAAAAATTAAGTGATAATAATATGAGAGTTTGTAAACCTGAATATTTCAAAAAGTATTTTGATAGACCTTATTTTTACTAAGATGCGTCTCAAGAGTCACTTTAACAAAAGAACTCCTTTACTCTATCATTCTAATAACAACAATTTTGCAAATGGTTTATGAATTAGAAAACACAGTTAGTTAATTTTTTTTAATAATATTAACTACTACCCTTTCCCCTCAACAAAAACAAAACATTGTTCTCAATGTCCTAATGTAGAAAGATAGAGTATAGAAGATATCACCTGAAACACTGAATACTAACAAACCTGAAACACACTTAAACAAATATAAGAAATAACAAAATAAAATAATATACTATTAAGAAAACCAAAAGACACAATGATTCACAAACAAAGGCTCAAATCCAATCTAAACTTTTTACGGCTTTCCTGAGTTGATCAATTTATGCTACTCATGGAGGGATTAATTACAGGAGTGAAAGATTGTAGTTGGTCAATCAATTGTTTAGCAGTAGTAGTAGAGATTATGATTTGTCATGCTATAGACGTTAGAAATTCTTGTTGCACAGCATGATAAAAAAAAGACAACAATTTATCATAAAAACCATTAACATTTAACAGACATATAGGTTTATAGTGAATGTGGAGTTGGGCCCAAGAGAAAATATGAAATATCTTTTCTAATATGCCTAGACCACCTGGTAAGGTAATGAAGGCTACATGTTTAAATATTGCATTCATTCAATCAGACATTATGGAGACCTATAGTTGCTCTCCAATTGTTTTTATAATGATGTCTCCATTTGCAAAAGCTTTGGGGACAACCTCCAAAACTTGACTACCTCTTAATAATATAGCTATTGACACTCCACTTATTAACCCAAGGCTTCCTCCCCCATACTCTAAATGAATCTTTCTCTCATCTAGTACCTAATCAAGATGATTTGCTAATTCTAAAAACTCTATTTCCTTCCTAGGACTGGATCCATTAAAAACATAAATGTTTCTTATATGATGACTTGAGGAACCTGCCATTTCTACACACTTCTATATCTGTTGAATGTATGGGTTAAGTAGAAATCAAGGGAAGGAAGAGAAGATTTTATAGATGAGAACTTGCAAGTGCAATCATACCTCCTATATGTAGGCTAGCTGGAGTCTCACTCGCTCTCTTTATTTATCTATTTATTTATATTATATTTAAAAAAAACATGTATATGTATAGGTAGGTATGATTGTAGCTCATACCTTCCCTTGGTTTTACGTCCAAAAACGACTTAAATGCACTCTATAGATCGGGGATAGGCTTCCCATCCAGTTTTCTTAAAAATCGACAAACAAGTTCTTTTTTAGTCAGATTCCCAAGACTAAGTTGATCATATTCTTTATGGAACTGTAACCATAAATAATGAATTGGATGATGCACATCTCCACTAGGATGGGCCTCAAGGGTCAATAGAAGATTATCTAAAGACCCTTTA